TTTTCTCACATTGTCTCTCTCTCTCTCTCTCTCTCTCTCTGTGTGTGTGTGTGTGTGTGTGTGTGTGTGTCTCCCTTCAGTGAGTGGATGTGCCCCCTAGCAAAAAGAAAGAGAAAGAAAAAGAAAGAGCGAACAATCCACTAAACTAAAGGCAACTATTAAAGAAGGCATGTAACTATTAAATTCAAGATGTCTGTGTACCTCCTAAAGCTATCTTATAGCCAACACTGGTGCTTTCACTAGTAAGTTACCACACTTTTAAACAGTTTCTGATTAAACAGAACTTCAGTTCCTCAACTGTGCCAGATCACAGAGTGTATTATACATGCTTTTCACCTACAACTGAAAAATATCCACAAACTGAAAAATTTAGTGCCTACACCCTAAGCATTTCTCTGTCATGGAAGCTTCAAAGGCTCAGTCCAAATACCACACTTCTCAGATTGCAGTGAATGAACCTCGAGCACACACAAGAGTTTCTGTATTTCATTTTCTCTTTGAAAGAAAGAAATTCTCACAAAAAAAGAGACAGAATAAAAGACCCATATCAATGGCTCGTACCCAGAGACTCAACTCCGAGAGTCATCTGTGCTGCAGTCTGAGACTCTGACCATTCCTGAGTCTGCGCGATGCCCCAAGAACAGGAAATAGGACCAACGGTCATCCCAAACAATGGAGACATGGATTTGAAAATATATATATATATAGGATTTATGATTAGTTTCCATAAAACTTCTAAATTTTCTTCATTTCCAGTCAAGACAGGACTCTTGAGGAGTCACTTCGAAATGAGGGAAGGGTATTTTTCAGACAGTGCCTTCCATCTAGCTAAAGGATCTGTCTTCAAACCTCTATCTTGGCTAAAAGGGAACAGGAGATGTTTTCAGTTAGAGAAAAGAAAACTTTCCAAGCATTCGTGAGAAATTGGTGGTTTTTTGCCTCTTAAAATGCTGTAACTATACACAAATATTTTTAATATATTCCAAGTAGCCGGTCTTCAGGATTATAAACAGAGAACCGGTATGTTCCAATGTTGACATGGTAAAAGTGAAAACGAAGTTCAGCAGTTGCTGATGGCTACAAAACTATGCTACCCACCCATCCATGGTAGATTTTTTTTCTTATTTGAAATGAAGCACAAAGACTCAATGAGAAAGTAAAACCTAACGTTTAAAAAAGTGCATCTATCTGCCATTACAGACACAAATGTATAAAATTATACATTAAAACTTTATTATAAGGCATAATAACATCCCATTTCTTTCCTACTATTTGCTTTTCCTGCTGTTTTGCAACAGGAAGTTGTTGGCACATCTGTCACCACATATCACTAGTGTTTCTCCACAGTGAAGTGTAGAACAGCCGTCCTCAAATACAGCCCTGCAGAGCCATGAAGGTCTATGAGTCTCTTTTAAGTGCATTAGGGCAAAATAATTTTTCTACTACTGAGCTCACATTTGTACTAAAGGTGCAAAAGCAATGGTGGGAAAAACACCCGTTGCCTTGTAAGAATCAAGGCAATAACACCAAACCATACTTTGTGATCACCATATTTTTTACCATTTCGCACTAACGTAAACACACACACAAACACATAAAAACCATTTCACTTAAGAACGTTCTTGATTAAGTAATAAAATGACTAGTTTTACTAAACTTGTTAAAAATATTAAATTTTAAGTAGCCACAGTGGTGCAGGTGGTAGGGTGCTGTCATGTGATATGGAGCCACATGGGAATCCCAGGTTTGCGTCCCATGCCGATCTGAGCACATTGGACCTACTGACAAGCACCTATGATGCTGTTTGGTTGTAAGGCTGGGTGGAGGATCACAGTGTCGTAAGATCCTTTTGAGAGTACTTGCCTCTCTCTCTCTCATGGAAGAAAAAAAGGAACTTAATATAGCTATCTGAAAGAAAAAAAGGAACTTAATATAGCTATCTATCAAATTTTATTAAATATTGTCCTTCTTATTTCCCCTTTACATTCTGAAATACTAAATGCAAGTTGAGGCTTTCTGTTGCATGCCAAAGTCCAATGGTTGTGTCCAGAAAAGCACTTGTGTGATTAAGTTGAGAGCTGAAATGGTAGGACTAAAAAAAAAAAAAAAACAAAAAACCACCACTATTTTCACTTGAAAATACAACAAACTTCCATTATTCAGACCTGGATATTTGATAAACATTTCTCAAAAATGAGTAAAATGAGACCATCATTTTTTAAAAAATGATAATATGTGTGGCCAAAGACAAAATTCAAACTTTGAAGTGAAAATTGAAATTTTGGCAAATTTGTATCCACCACTGTGAACTTGATCACTTTCTAATAACTTTTCTAGTGAGATCAATGGTGATATTACTGGACATAATTTTTTTACATCATGCAGTGAAATATGTCACATAATCCAAAGAAAATAACTCAATCAGCTAACATTTTCTAAATGACCAATGCATCATGTTACAAAATGAGGATATGATGGGCAAAAGATACATTCAAAGTGATACTGGTGAATTTAGTATGACAAGGACAAGAAGTTCATTTTTGTGGTGTCGAAGTCCAGCTGTAACTAACTTTGAAGAAACCAGCACTTTTTGAGTTTTGGTGTAGTATCAAAGATGAATATTAACAATTTTATAGAAAAAAATTAAAAATACTACTTTAATTACCTATACTTATGAAGCTAGATTTCCTTCATATACTTGAACAAAAATGACATATAGCAAAAAAATGTAGAAATAAATATGAGAATCTCATCTCTTAGTAAGTCAGACATCAAAGAGATTGTAAAAATATGCAACTCATTAAATATTTTTGTTTCAAGAAATAGTTAACATTTTAACATGTGTTTTTTATGTTAACATGTAATGGATTTACTATTGTTTTTAAATAAGTAAGAAACATGTTTCAATTTCTCATTTTAATATGTAACAATAAATATGGATAAATATGAACCATATAAACAATGGCACTCTTGGTTCCTCAGTAATGTTTAAGATTCCTTTTTTTTTTTTTTTTGGAGAGGTTTTTTTTGCTATAGGGTGCATGCGCTCACCCCTCCATTCTCCTCTCAGGATCTTGGGTACGCACGCACACATGCCTGGCATGAGTTTAAGCCACCCGGTCCAGGACTCAAACCACGATCGATTACATGGGAGTCCAGTGACATAGCCATTATGCTAACTGCTGGTCAGAGTAATATTTAAGATTATAAAGGGATCCTGAGACCAAAAGATCTGAGAAGCAATGAGGTAACACCGAAGAGACTGGAACCTGTCACTAAGAGAGAGCCATAGGGCCAGCTACTGGTGTGGTGGTTAAGGTGGCTAGAGATCATAAGGCCAACTGTGCCGTTCAAGTCTCAGACCCAGAAAAACATGCTGGGCACGTGAGGACATATGCCCAAAATTCCAAGAGGAAAATAGAGAAGAGGGGATAAAGGTGTAGCCATCCTCTGAGGAGGTGTTTTCTTTCTCTCTCTCTCTCTCTCTCTCTCTCTCTCCCCCACACACACACAAGCACACACGCCCTATGGCAAAACTTTTTTCAAAATTAAACAAAAAGAGATCCATAAATTGTGACTCAGCTATTCACTGACTCTGTGATGCCCCTCCCCAGCCTCAGTTTCCTTACCTGTAGAGTGAAAACATTCCCTCATTTTACAAGATGGTTATGAGAATACAAGAAGCAATAGTTGCATAATCCTTAATGTATAGCAAACCCGTAATAATTACTAGCTGTTGATGTTAGCTCCTTATCAGGGCTTTTTTGGTTTGTTTATTTTTCTCAGTTTATTAATTTGAAAATAGTGAAAGCTACTCAGATTCTGAAGGAGAGGATAAGATGCCTCTCAAAAGAAAGAAAAGGGCAGCTTCCCATCATGGGCTTTATGATCACAAACTTGTGTATCTGGGTTGCAATCCCCCCAGTGTTGTTTGACCCAATGATTCCACCAAGGTTTAGTTCTCTTCTAACTGGTGCTAAGGGAGAGTGGGAGCCAAAGATGGGAGAAAATGCTGTCATTTCTTGAAGCCACCAAAGTCATTTCTATCATTGTGTGTGTGTGTGTGTGTGTGTGTGTGTGCATGTGTGTGTATTTGGGTTTCTGTATTTAACCCACAGTGGGTGCTCAGAGTAGCATAAAATCAATTATTTCCAGTGTATGTTTGTAAAGGTCTCAGGTTCAAATGCAGTGGATGTACATAATCTTTGAAACTTTTTGTCGTGATCTTAGAGAAAGATAATCAACCCTGTAGATGAGAAATAAAAGAAACTCCCTTTTTCTCATCTTTCATTTACTCTTTAAGTCCTGTGGGACAGGCACACAAACTACAAAAATAATCATTTCTCAATTTTCCCCTATTACTTTTTCCATAATTTGAAAACATAAAGCTCTTTCCACTGGCTGCCTTTCTAATTCTCATTTCTATTCTTGTTTCAGAGCAAAAAGAATTTTGCCAACGAAAGTGCTATAAACAGCCGTGCCCTCACTGAAAAAGGCAATATGCCGTCAGCCTGACATATACCTCGCTTTTCCGCTCATTGTCAACACAGTGATTGATGGTGTAGTTCATTAATGTGGGACGATTGTCAGCTTTTCCTGAGTAAATATAAAAAGAAACAAAGAAATCTCCACCCTTTTCAAGCCACAGTAAATTATTTTCTATTTTCCAGGCTTAGATTTAAAGATCCATAGGGCATTCATCTCAAAATAAATAATGAACATACCCTTTAATGGAAGAATTTTCGTTTGAATTCAGGGCTGAAATTTTTTTTATATGTATAGGAAAGGAGAAAAGAATGCTATTCAAAAGGATAAAGAGATTTAGGCACCTAAAACTGTACATTAAAGCAATGCTTCACCTTTAGTATACATAGTCATGTAAAATGTAGGAAATTATCACCTTTGGAAACCCATAAAGTATAAAGAATCTGTCCTGGGCTAAAGCACACGTAATAAGAATCACAAGGAAGGGAGAGCAGCGGAGTGGATGGATGGGTAGCGGACTAATTTATAGCTGAGTAGGAAAGCTGATTAAAACCAGTGCACGTCAAAAGGAAATTTAATGGAAATAATCAAAATAGATTTTTTTTTTCGATTTCTTTTTACTCATGATGCAAGTTCGGAATGTTTCGTTGCCAGACGCATTTACATATATCAGCTGAAGAAAGGTAAAATGGACACACCATGGCCCCATTGGTCCTTTTATCAAGAGGGACTGCCTCTGATTTTCCTCTGTGCTGGCGCTCTTGTCTTTCAGTCTGTTTAAACTGCTTTAATTGGGTCTTCGCTAACTCCGTTGTCACAAGATCAACAAACACCATCGGGTGTGTCTTGCTTTTAGCTTTGGTGTACAAAAAGCAACAACCGAAACAAAAACATCCTCCTACATATGGTGCTCACGGGCTGATGAACAGGCAGCATATCTCTCTGGGTATTCTGCTCCTATACAGATTTTCTTGGGTGGTAATGTGCTAATGACAATAATAATTTATTCTGAAGATGTGCTAAATTTCTTGAGTTGAATTGTGAAGTATTTTGAATACCACTGGAAGGCATGGGAAACTGAGAACTGCAGGAACAACTGGCATTCTGCCACCTCTTGAACATGCGATCTGATTGTAAGAGAAGGTGATTATTGAGGACTAACCAGCAGATCTCAGATGATTTCCCCTGAAAAGACAGCTTGCCTGAGTATCATCCATTCTTGGAGCACAGATGTATGGTTCTGTTCTCTGGCTATCCTAACTCTTAACAAGGTAAGTAAAGGGTCTCGAACTTCACCATAGTGCACATTCATTAAGCACCAAGCAGATGTCATCAGGTCTATGCCAGAACTTCATGCAGTTATTTCATTCAATCCATGCTCCCAACTGTTAGGTACGAACTATTATTGCTCCCACTTTCAAGATGAGGAAGGTGGGCCAGCTGATGACACGGTGGTTAAGGCAGCTGGATCCCACATGGCTAACTGTATGGCTTGAGTCCTGGACTCATTGCTGGGTGTGTGTGTGTGCATGTGTGTGCCCAAAATTCCAAGAGAAAAATGGAGGAGAAGGGATTGTGGTGTGACCAGCCCCCAACCCCCCGGTGGGGGGACTCTCTCTCTCTCTCTCTCTTTAGCGAACACATGTGCACTACAGCAAAATAAAAATAAATAAAAGATGAGGAAGGCAGGGCTTAAATTGCACAAATGGCTTCTTTAAGGTCACATCTGAATAACTGGTACAGTCAAGATCCTCACCCAGCCCTGTCTGACTCCAGAGCCAGATCTATGAGCCACTAAGACACGTGACTTCTGACTACATTGGAAATGTTGGAAGGGTTTCTATCAGGGAAAAGAGCAATCCCACTTGGCTTAAAATGATTTTCAAAGTAATATCACATTTGATGTCTCATTTCCTCCTCACTCTAACTACATTAAGTCACCAGAGCAGGTAATAGTATGTTCCTTTTACGGAGAAGTAAAAGAAAGTACAGAAAGGCTGAAATACTGCTTTAAGTTTCAACAGCTATGACTAAAAAAAACTGGGGCCGGAATTTGGGTCTCTCCAGTATACTCTCATTTTGCTATAGAGTGGCAAACCAAAAAGACAGATAGATAAATAAACAAGTCATTGATGTCTATAAAGTCACTGAATGGACAGGTAGTTATCTCCATATTTCATTTTGCAACTGCTTAGTTTGTCATTTAATAAATTCCATATTTTCCTTCTAGTGACTCAGTAGGGAATTCTGCTTTGGAATTCTCCAGAGATGCACTGTTTGTCATATTATATCAATGCCATCAGTGGATGAGACCTTGAATTTTTTCATAGTGAGGTTAAGAGTCCTGAGAAGTTTGAGGTAAAATGGCAAATCTGCTTAAAATCAGCAGCCAGATTCAACATATTGGGAAACTCTTCCAGTAAGTAGTCAGTCAGCAATATATCTGCCCATACTAATTAAATAGTCACAGCAACACTTCTGGCATGTCATAAAATAATAAAAAATCCATGTGGGAAACGGAGAATTTTAAAGAGAGAAAAGTGCCCTTATAAACTCCAGGCTCTACACATCACAGTGGCCCAAAGACCACAATCTGAGGATACCCACACCTTCACAGCAAACTAAGACAGACATATTTTTCAGAATCTGTCAGGGCCAACCCTTGACATTCACCCAGAATACCCCACAAAGGAGGAAATAACTCACAAGAGCAGCATGTTTCTCAATCAAATCTCAAAAAAATTACCCTAACAGATAACATCACTAGCCTTTAAAATTTTATGATGCTAGAAAATGAAATTCTACCTACCACCACTTTAACTATAAGAACCCACCTCACAGTAGTTCACAGGGGGTGTGACCTTTCCTGGATGTCACCGATAGGGAGAGTGTGCACCTTTGGCTGCTTCTAGATGTGTTGAGTTGTGGGCCAACAAGGAATATGATGAACCAACACTGATAATGTACATACAATGCGTTTCTTCTGTATTCCGAAGGGCTCTTCCTTCCTATTTTCTCCCCGGCAAATTGAAAATTGTATTTGTAACCTGATTTTAAAGCACTCTGAACATGCATTTCTCCAATCTATTAACTGAGTTTGGATAGCGTGTTATGTTTCTTTCCTGCCCAAGATCCCAAGAGGAGAATGGAGAAGAAGGGATTGTGGCGTGGCCATTTCCCCCGGGGGGTGATTTCTCACTTTCTGTCTGTCTCTCTGTCTCTCTCTGTCTTTCTGGTGAGCACACATGCCCTATAGCAAAAAAAAAAAAAAAAAAAAAAAAAAAAAAAAAACCCCCAAAAAAAAATAATAAAT